AAGAGGTGTATTGCAGGGGTTCTGATGACTTCCAAGGATACTGCGGAGACAACTGTTTCTATGAGGCTGGAGGAAGCATCTAATGTTTCAGGCAAGCCGTTTTAACATTTAATAATTTAAACCTACTAGTCTTTATTTTCAAGCTAGTACTTATTTTTGAGATAGTATCTATAGTGCTTATTCTTTAGAGTGCCTTTTCTTTAGATACTAGTGCTTATTCGTACTAGCACTTTTTTAAAGATACTAGTACTTATTCATTAGATACTAGTCCTTATTTATTAGATACTAGTACTTATTCATTAGATACTAGTCAAGTCAAGTCACATTTATTTATATAGCGCTTTTCACAATACAGATTGTATCAAAGCAGCTTCACAGTGATAACATGAAAGTAGCACAACACAGATCAACAACATTGCTAAACACTAAATAACCCCAACTGAGCAAGCTCAAAGCAAGCCAAAAGCAAGGCGACAGTGGCAAGGAACCAAACTCCATCAGATTGGATGGAGAAAAAACCTTGGGAGAACCCAGGCTCAGTCGGGGGCCAGTTCTCCTCTGGCTTACATTCATATTGTTTAAATATAAATATTAAATATAAATATTGTTTATGAATCAAACGGCGCCATAACATATCGCAGGCGTTGAGTCGTCTCATCACAGGCGTTTAGTCGTCTCATCACAGGCGTTGGGGCATCCGAAATCCCCGTGAGAGGCTGGACACAAAACTGGACCTGACGAACGCCATTTTTCTCGGGACAAGCGTCCCGAGATAACAGCAGAAAGGCAGATGGGAAATAATTAGCATAGCTGATGTTCATAATAATTTCCGTTATAACTCACAAACTCTCCGTAACCCGAACTCTCCGCAACCCAACCATATGCGCCGACCCGTTTGTCTAAGAGGCTGTCGAGCCCCACTGGTGCGTTAAGCAGTTTCAGTGGCAAACGGTTCCGTATGGCATAACAGAGGACTAGAAGGTAAGCATTATGTGAATGCTTGACTAAAGAGATGCGTCTTTAATCTAGTTTTAAACTGTGTCAGCGAGTCAGAGCCTCAGACCGTATCGGGAAGGCCATTCCAGAGTTTTGGAGCTAAATGCGAGAACGCCCTCCCTCCTTTACTGGACTTCGATATCCTAGGAATGACCAGAAGCCTTGAATTTAGTGATCTTAAGGAACGCGGTGGATTGTAGGGCGAAAGAAGGTCCGTTAAGTACATAGGTGCTAAACCATTTAGGGCTTTATAGGTCAGTAGTAGTATTTTGTAGTTGATGCGGAACTTAATAGGTAACCAGTGTAGAGATGATAAAATCGGTGTTATGATCATATTTTCATGACCTAGTAAGAACTCTAGCAGCTGCATTTTGTACTAACTGTAGCTTGTTTATTGAGGATGCAGGACAACCGGCTAATAAAGCATTACAGTAATCTAGTCTCAAGGTCATGAATGCGTGAACTAATTTTTCTGCATCAGAAATAGATAGCATGTTACGTAGCTTAGCAATGTTTCTAAGGTGGAAAAAGGCTGTTCTTGTAACATATGAAATATGATCTTCGAAAGACAAGTTGCGGTCTAGTATAACACCCAGCTCTTTTACTGTAGTGGATAAAGTAACAGGACATCCGTCTATATTAAAGTTGTATTGTGAGAGGTTTTGTGAGTAGTTTTTTGGACCAATAAGTAATACCTCCGTTTTATCTGAATTTAATAGCAGGAAATTACGCGTCATCCAGCATTTTATATCTTTGAGACACTCTGTCATTTTAGATGAGTTAGTGTTTTCATCTGGTCGTGATGAAATATATAATTGAGTGTCGTCAGCGTAACAGTTGAAATTAATTCCATGTTTTCTTATAATATTACCAAGTGGCAGCATATATATTGAGAATAGCAGAGGGCCTAAAACCGATCCTTGCGGTACTCCATAGTTTACTGACGTTATCTTTGATTTTTTCCCATTTAAACAGACAAAATGAGAACGGTCCGATAAGTACGATCTAAACCAGCTTAATGCCTGTCCCTGGACACCGGTGACGTTTTGTAGTCGATCCAAGAGTATTTTATGATCTATAGTGTCGAACGCAGCGCTAAGATCAAGTAGGACTAGTATTGAGATACAGCCTTGGTCAGAAGCTAAAAGTAAATCATTTGTAATTTTAACTAGCGCAGTTTCTGTACTATGATGCGGTCTGAATCCTGACTGGAATTTTTCATAGATATCATTTTCTTGCAAAAAAGAGCACAATTGAGCGGACACTACTTTTTCAAGTATTTTGGACATAAATGGAAGATTTGAAATGGGTCTGTAATTTGCCAAGTTATTTGGATCTAATTGCGGTTTCTTAATGAGCGGTTTTATTACAGCCAGCTTGTATATTTTTGGGACATGACCTAAAGTTAAAGACGAGTTAATAATATTGAGGAGAGGCTTTTCCACTGCAGGTAATAGTTCTTTCAGTAGTTTAGTGGGTATTGGATCTAATAAACATGTTGTTGGTTTAGATGCAATGATAAGTTTATTTAGCTCCTCCTGTCCTATCGTTGTAAAGCGGTGTAGTTGTTCTAGAGGGTCCATAATTGAAGCTGAATCATAAGACACCATAGCGGATTGTACATTTATAATTTTGTTTCGGATGCTTTCTATTTTCGCATTGAAGTAATTCATAAAATCATTACTACTAAACTGTAACGGTATATTTTGCTCTGGTGATGTCTGTTTATTTGTTAGTCTAGCCACGGTGTTAAATAAAAACCTTGGATTATTTTGGTTATTTTCGATTAGTTTGCGGAGATGCTCAGCCCTGGCTGTTTTTAGTGTCTTTTTATAACGTGACATACTGTCTTTCCACGCGATTCTAAAGACCTCTAAATTAGTTTGTTTCCATTTACGCTCTAAGTTGCGAGTTTCTCTCTTGATAGCATGCGTAGCACTGTTGTACCATGGTGCTTTAATTTTTTCTCGAACCTTTTTTAATCTAATTGGCGCAACAATATCTAATGTAATCTAGATACTAGTCCCTATTTATTAGATATAGTGCTTATTTATTAGTTACTGCTTATTCATTAGATACTAGTATTATTCATTAGATACCAGTACTTATTATTTGATACTAGTACATATTCATTAGATACTATTACCTGTTAAATAGATACTAGTACTTATTCATTAGATACTAGTACTTATTTCGATAGTGACTAGTAACAAATTAAATTTTTTGCCAGTGACTTTGTCGTTCAGATATCAACTGTTCAGTTCTGACTGTATGTATTCCAATTGTGACTAGTACCTATACATTAGATACTAGTAGTTATTCATTAGGTACTAGTACTTATTTTTTAGATACTAGTATTAGTACTTATTCATTAGATATCTGTACCTATTATTAGATACTAGTACTTATTCAATAGATACTAGTACCTGTTTATTAGATACTAGTATTTATTCCAAATGTTTTATTTTACTAGTCACAACTGCTTTTTTAGTATCTAATAAATAAGGACTAGTATAATGAATAAGTACAAGTATCTTTAAAAATGTACTACCTAAAGAATAAACACTAGTATCTAAAGAAAAGGCACTAGTAGCTATTGAATAAGTATTCTAATAGATAGTATCTAAAAAATAAGTACTAGTAGCATGAAAATAGAGACTGTTGGTTAAAATTATTAAATGTTAAAACGGCTTGCCATATACAATGTGTTCCTCTTGTTTGAACTTGCCACATGTATTGTTTATCAGTAGAGAATGCTGCATTTATCAATACAGTTTTTCATCATATTGGTCAATAAAGTGATGCTAATGTTTTCAGAGTCATTATTCTAAGTAAACACATTTTACCTTATTTATATGTTTTACTTTATATGTAATTTAATGTAAGTTACAAATATCACTGAAATATCATCATTACATATAAACATATTTTGAAAAATACAGGTGAGAAAGACCAATACAATCATTTTCACCATTGCTTTACAGTATGATTTGATATCATTATTGGAAATGGCTATTAATTTACCTTGTTAATCACCGTTACAACTTGATTTATGTTGTGTTCACAACTTCACACACACAAAACGAAATAAAACTATGTACCCACGTAGGAGGGGACGTTCTCGCGACCTTATGCAACGTTCCCTAAAAGTTCTCTAAAGGTAACGAAAGTTCCGAACCTTTATAGAACATTGAGGACGTTCATAGAACGTCCTCTTTTGGTTATGAAAGTGCTGCAGTTCAAGGTTCCTTATATGACCTTAGGGGGACGTTCTATTTGGGGTATTTTAAGGTCACATAACAAACGTTACAAAGAGGACATTCGGGACGTTAACAGAACGTTCCCATACAGTCCTCTGTTGGTCATATAATAACGTTCCCAATGTGACTTCAGGAGGACGTTCCATACTGGTTATTCTATGGTCACACAACAACGTTACAAAAAGGACATTCGGGACGTCAACAGAACATTCCCATACGGTTCTCTGTTGGTCATATAATAACGTTCCCAATGTGACTTCAGGGGGACGTTCGATATTGGTTATTTTATGGTCACACAACAACGTTACAAAGAGGACATTCGGGATGTTAACAGAACGTTCCCATACAGTCCTCTGTTGGTCATAGAACGTTCCCAATGTGACTTCAGGGGGACGTTCGATATTGGTTATTTTATGGTCACACAACAACGTTACAAAGGACAGGACGTCAACAGAAATTCCCATACGGTTCTCTGCTTGTCACAAACGTCCCCGTTATTACTTTAACAACGTTACAAAGAGGACATGGCAGATCTGCTTATTTTTTCAAAATAAACTACCACAAAAAGGGACAAATCTGCTATGAAGATTGAAAATTGTAGATGACATTTAATTGAAAAATAAGCACTAAATTGTATAAATAAATAAACGTTCTGTTGGATGTGTTTTGAAAAGTAACACATCCAACAGAACGAAGTTGTTTATTTATTTTACAATAAAAACAATAGCAAAATGGTATAAAAAAACATAACTGTCAAGTGAATGGGTCATAACTACACAATGAGTTTTAAATTCATTATTTAAAATTAATGATATTTCAAATTGTTAAATGTTATAATGTTTATTTAAATGCTGCGTGCCTTTTGACGTGTTCTATGGTTTCAATGGGCGTACGTGCGCGTAAACATTGAGTCGCAATTCAAAGACAGGAGCGCGCGTGAGCAGATGGAAACCATGGAAACGAGGAAACCTCATCAACTGTCAAACAGCAAAACTAGCGTCTCTCACTGTTGTTTTCTCTGCTTTCAGGTAAGTTTAGTTACCAAAATCACACAAATAATATATACAAACCTTCCTGATATATGTCTTACGTGTAATTGATACACTTCTGTTGAATATTTACTTTATAGAAATGGTTTTGTGTCTTCGAAAAAGTCCGTTAGCATCTCCGTTTTCAGAAGAGCTAACTTTAGCAGCTATAAGTTTACGTTACAATTGAGCTCTTGATTTATATAAGTTTGGGTTTTTAACCACATTTGTGTGTTGATAACAGTTTTTAAAAGTTTTGTTTTGCTGGTAATTTGTCAGTGGTGGTGGGAAGTAAGCTTTTATTTAACCTGAAATAATTCAATGTAACGTACTGTTAATGACGTCACTTAAGATTGATAATAAGTGATTTCAGGAGGAACAGAAAAAAACCTTCACAACAAAGGGGGAATTATTGTTTAATCATGATAATAATTTCATATGCGTTTTTTGCACAATATATTACCTTAAGATTTTTTATATTCTTTATCTTTTCTGCATTTTATCTCTGCTCTAGCTTGCTTCCTTGTAATAAACCCTTTGTTCTTTTGTAAATTATATGTGCTAACATTGTTGGCTCTGTGACACATTGCATGTTATTTTCTAGAAGATCATCTTGGCCTGCTGCACCCCCTGTCCAAGACAATCTCCACGGCTATGAACTCGACTAGTAAGCAAAACTTCAAACATAAGTTACTGTTCAATTGTTGTGGGTCTGCACTCTGTAGGATTTATACTTTTGAATGAAGTCACACACTTTAAAATCATTAACCCCAGTTTTTTTCAGGGAGATTGTCCTTGAGAAGCCAGTAAGCTAAATAATAGGCAGCAAATATAATGTTATAAAAATGGTCATAGTTATAATAATTCATTTAACTATTATTATAACAGGATAATGGTCATTGGTACCATTGTATATATTATATATTTTTATATACTTATATATATATATATATTTTTTTTTTTTTTCTCTTGGTGTGTTTTTAATTATGTTAGCCAATGAGACAGACACCATACTGAAATTCTTTTTACTTTCAAAAGCTGAATTCAGGGGGTCGACAACTTTAGGCACGCAAGTTATTTTTCACAGATATCTGTCCAGTTTACTCATGGCTCATACTCTAAGCCTTTAAAATGTTTGAATGTATATCTGCAATACATTATCAGGGGGTAAAGATATCATTAGAGTTTTTAAAGTTATGGCTATGCTCTTGTTACCAGATGAGATGTCAATCATTTGACCCTGTGATTCTTCAGGACAAGATCTTGATGCCATCCACACTGAACATGACATCGTACATGACAAAGGTGAGTTTCACAATAGCTGCCACTATCACAAACCAAGAGACCGAACACAACAGGCCTTCATCCATATGAACTCACCCATGCATAGGAATAGGTTCCGAAACCCAGTATTAAACATTAAACGGGGGCCAAATTAAGGAAGACCGCAGTATCGATAAGCTCAGATGTTATCGTTCTGCTGACGGTACTGAAGAAACTACACACACTATTAGACATTGTCTTGCAAATTCTGTGAGGATTAGGAGGGGTGTTTTAAACAGTCTTCATACAACATGTGTTTTCCAGGCTGGTTGTTTGTCATTTTGTAAGACTAGGGAGAGGCTGTACCTCAGTAAAGACTTATTTTACATTCGATAAGTCAATTTCCGTACCTGATAAGTTAGATTTTCCTAAAAAAAAAACATCATGCACTGCTTATTTCAATTGTATTTTTCTTCTTTTGAATTTATCTATGCTTGTAATTTGTTTATAATTTTCAATGCAGATTCACTCTAAATAAATAATCTCTTGAAATTTGTTTTTATATCGCAATATATATAGCAGCAGATAAACAAAATAGATAAACAAAATATTTTATTTAAGGTTTTCAATATTGTCCTGCCGTAATATTGAGCATTTAACCTAACTCTAATTTTTTATTGAACGTGGAATGATAATTTGTGATACCAGATGAGATGTATGCATGATAGATTTTGATCTGTACTATTTTTTTTTTATTGCAGGTTTTCTGGAATCCACAGCGGAAGGGATCAAGGCATGAGATGTTGGCTTGGACAGATGTACCTGTACACCACACCGACCTCTGCTTTTGCATGGATGGCTGATTACTATCATGTTCTGTATAAGTTTTATAATAGCAAAACTGAGCACCTTCGACAGTGGTAGATGTAAAGTAGTCAGACATCAGTACATTTAAAGTCACAGAGAGAAAGTTTTTTATATAAGTATAAAACAATTTTTTGGCACCATTATACACCAAGAAATGTGCATAATTGGCCAAATTGATAATGTTTATCAACAAAAATATGACCCTATGAGTTTGCTAATTTGTAGAATAGGACACACACTCTCTCTCTCTCTCTCTCTCTCTCTCTCTCTCTCACACACACACACACACACTGTATATTTAATAGTTATTTAATTAAATATATTTCATTTTTTTCTTTTTACTTGTTTTATAATTTACATAACATTAAATTAACATAAATCTTTGTCTTGTCCTAATATTATTTACTGTTGATTTATTACGCCTATGCATGATCACGTTATTATTAATTCATAATCTGTTTTTTGATTACACAAAATAAATAAATAACGAATCTCTGCTTTGTATTGTATCTTTGAATGTGTTAAAACGTTAAATGCATGCTTATTCCTGATTAAGGTTCTTCAAGAACAAATTTGAAAAAGTTTATGCATTCTAGTTTGTTTACCTACAGGTCTTTGACAACACTGGAGACGGGCTTAGAACGTTCTGGGAACGTCACATATCCAAATAAAACATTGGTCCCCTAAACGTTCTGAGAACGTCCCGAATGTTCTGTGAAGGTCGCAAAATAACGTCCTCTGACCCTTTAAAGAACTCCACATCATGACCGTCTCCGAACGTTCCCGCAACGTTACTGGGCAACGTGTTTGACACCAGTGGGGACGTTCTGAGAACGTCCCGAATGTTCCGTGAAGGTCGCAAAATAACGTCCTCCGAACCTTTAAAGAACTCCACATCATGGCCGTCTCCGAACGTTCCCGAAACGTTACTGGGCAACGTGTTTGACACCAGTGGGGACGTTCTGGGAACATCACATTTCCAAATAAAACATGGTCCCCTAAACGTTCTGAGAACGTCCCGAATGTTCCGTGAAGGTCGCAAAATAACGTCCTCCGAACCTTTAAAGAACTCCACATCATGACCGTCTCCGAACGTTCCCGGAACGTACTAGGCGACGTCCTTGACACCAGTGGGGACGTTCTGAGAACGTCCTGGGAACGTAACATTTTTAGCTGGGTAATTATAAATAGTTGTAACAACGTAATTTTGTTTTTAAATGTAAACCTTTTAAGGTTTACATTTAGAGACAAATTACATGTAGGTTGGAGATAATATTATATAATACACACAGGCTATTATACAAGATCTTTGCCTATCTTATAAAAACGTAATATTTGGTTTATGAAAGAATATCTATTTTGAAGAAAATAGGTAGACTGTATATTATTTTGTGAAATGTTGTCGCGATATAGACAAAAATCAAGAAAACTAGATATTTTCAAATATTAATCTCCGCTTCTGAAAGGGCTTCCGGATCCGTTCCGTATCCGTACGTTTTTTGATGGATGGTTGGAAAATGCCTAGACGGCCTTCTTGTTGTTCCGCAGCTGCTCACTGCGGAACATGAAATCCACGGGGAGGACGTCGGATCCAGATCCAACTCCTCCCACCTTACATACACCTAAACCTAACCAGATCCGCCCCCTGATCTCTAAACCCACCCCTAATCCCTAAACCCAATCCTAATCCTACCCATCTCCACCCCTTGGATCGTGATCCGACTCCTCCCCGTGGATCTCATGTTCTGCATTGAGGTCGGTGCTACTGAGCTGTAAAGGGAAATACAGCCAAAAGCACCGAGGGGGAGGGGTTAACAACCATCCAACATTTTTAAGGTGGAACGAATAGTTGGATAGTTAGGCGAATAAGCTGGAGCGCGGACTGACAACTGACTGACAACAAGCGTTACTGAGTTTAAAATACTGATAAATTCTCTTCTTAGTGGACAAGACTGCACGTAAGTTTAATACATTCTCCATTACATGGTCTGATTCTACGTTCCCGCACAATCTCCAGCATTTTTGTTGTTTAGAGAGTTGCCTCGTTTTTATTTTCGGTGTTATGAAATAACGAACCAAGTTTTTCCAGGAGAACTCTTTCCATATTAAGGAGCTTGTAGAAGTACATTTGTGTCTCACACATGCGATACCATACCTCCTCTTGTATCTGAACCTGTAGTTCTGTTTCCCATTTTGCTTTTAGAGTGTCGTTTCCCCCCTACTCTCACCCAGGGCTTGATAGAAAGCAGAGATGGTCGAGACCCCTTCTGTTTGTACGAGTCCACAATGACTCTAATCACCTTATTTGTCGTTTCAAGTGGCTTTATCTCTTTTGTGAAATAGTCTCTTAACTGCATGTATCTATAAAAATCTTTGTTTTCTAAATCATATTTTGCCTTAAGATCTAGGAAGGTTAGGAATTCTCTACCTGTCGAAACTGTATATTGCTGTCATACCTATTTGTGCCCATTCTTTGAATACTGGGTCATACATCCCCGGCTTAAAATTTGAATCATACGCAAACCACCTCAATATGCACATATCTCTCTTGTATTTTCTTACTACAGCACTCCATATTTGTAGTGTAAATGCTATTATTGGGTTCATAGCATGCTTAAAGCACTATCAAATGTTCATCCCCGACCAGTGTCTGGATCGGATAGCCCTGTATGCCCTTTTCTATTTCTTTCCATTTAGACTCATAGTCAGGACTATACCAACAGGCCAGGAATCTGAGCTGAGCTGCATAAAAATATTCTATAAAGTTAGGCAAGGCCATTCCACCCTTACTTCTAGGTAGTCGGAGTGTCTTAAATTTTATTCTTGGTTTTTTACAATTCCAAATGAATCTAGAGATCATCTTGTCCCAAACAATAAATTTGTTTTGAGGGATATTAATTGAAAGAGCTTGAAATAAATATAACAATTTAGGTAGAATATTCATTTTGACAGTTTGTATTCTAGCACTGAAGTCTAACGGAAGGGTAGACCACCTTTCAATATCTCTTTGGATGTTTTTCTCAATTTCACTATAGTAGTTTTCGTACATATCACTATGGGTTTTAGTAAGAGTTACTCCAAGGTACTTCATTGTTTTATTTGCCTTATTTGCCTGATATGCCTCTCTTATTTGTCGGACTGGAGAATAATTTAGAGAGAGAATCTGTGTTTTTGATATGTTCAGTTTATATCCTGAATAATACTCATACGTTTCCAGTTGATTCATTAGGTGTGGGAAACATATATCTGGTTGTTGTAGGAAAATAATGACATCATCCGCGAAGAGGCCAATTACATGTTCTGTTCCCCCTATATTAACCCTTGTCAAGAGTCCAGTTAAAGCAGGGTAGAAGCAAAGGTGTTAGCTCCTTCTGAAAGACCTTGTACCATTCTGATGGAAACCCATCGCTACCTGGAGATTTACTAGCCTGCCTATGTCTATTTTAATTCTGGGTACTTTTACTTAATCAGTCATTGTGAACTTGAAGTGATGACTGAATGGCAAATGATTCAACAATTAATAAAGATTGGGTAAATATGTTTATAAAATGATATTATATTGTAATAGATCATTTAAAAATTGGGTTCAGTTTTCCCAGCACAGTTTCTGTTCCCCAATGAATACATATTTACAGTCAGTTAAACTCATTAAACAATCAGTAATGATTAAGACCATTTGGTTATTTTACATGGCAATATATTTGTTTGTAACTCACTTTATTTGATGCATTGTTTGTTTTTGCTGTTGATGATGATAACTCTTTATTCTTCATGATTGTCTTCAATAAGATGTTGTTGATGTGTGTAAATGTTGTGATTTGCAGGTGATGCTGAAGGATTGAGTGTTTTCTGATCAGTTTTCAGGGTCAGTTTAGCTGCAGTATGTCAGAGGAAAGAGGAAAGGACTCTCTCTCTCAGATGAGTCTCTCAGAGAAACACAGGTGAGACTGCGTCTGTTTTCACACTCTCACTTTAAACTCCACTGGACTTTGTGTTTCCCTGTCAATAACACAACTTTAAGCATTGCTCTATATTTGCAAATGCTTTACACAACTTAAAATTAAACTTCTTAAATTAACAGTGACATTGTCTATAAAGCTCTGTTTGCTCTATAGAAAATATCACAGGTAATAATTTGTTAATTACCTTCTAGATGCTCAATTAATCCAAATAAATGACTTTAGATTCTAGATCACAAATTATTGATAGACATTAGAAAATGACTATTTAATTCAAGTATGCTAACAAAACTGTCACACAGACATTTCTATTCTCTCTTGCTTTCAATATTCTCTTTAATTCTCTCAATGTTCTGTCAATATTGCTGTCATGTTTTCTTAAATTGAAGTATTTTTAACATGTTTAATCTCACTCATCTATATTAAATAAATTGTTAAACTAATGTGAGCCAGTAAATAAAATGATGGTTAACTAAAGAACTGTAAATTGTGTGAGTGTGTGTGTTTCTGTGGAGGATTAGATAAAGACACAGATGTGTTTCAGACACAGTTGATCCTCCTTTACTAAAGTGTTTTCTCTCTCTCTCTGTTCTTTGTGTCATCAGTGTAAGATCAGGCTCACATGTGTCCAGCTCTGTGTCTCTGAAGAGTGATTGGTCTAAAGATATTCCACCAGACTTCAGTGAGAAAACACCATCATCTAATAAAAGGTATTTTGTGTTTACATTACATTATAGGGTTGTATTATTTGTCCACAGTGGTGTGTGTGATTGAACTTGACTGTGTAAGGGGATTTATGAAACTCACTCCAGTAATGCCTTGTTCACACTACATGATTTTAAAACGTCGGGCTGAACTGTGTGGTTCACACTACATGAATTGCTCTCAGTGAAATCAGGAGTTGTTCAAGTTGTTTAGCTGTTCACACCACACAACACAACGTGATTGATTCACAACAGGAGGTAACTCACTACACGAGTTGACAACACACTACATAGAGATACAACCACGATCGGATGATAAGAGCAAATCATTTGTGACTCAATGAGAGCTGTTTCAGTACTATGTTACGGTCTAAATCCTGAAAATAATCAAATAAATAACGAGTTGACAACAACTCTGTCACCCAACGATTCTATCTTGTCTACAAACCACGTTTTGTCACGAAAAAACACACAATAAATAAATAAATAAATATTGCGCCAATACCCAGCGAAGAAGAGAACACAACATGTGAAAATGGACGTTAGACAAAAAATAGTGCTGCACACTGTTTGCGCGACGATCTGCTCTGAGGAAAAAAAAGAGAAAAACTAAGATTTACCAGGTGTCTTCAACCCATGCGTTGCTATGATTGGCTGTACTCATGACATCACTGAGTTTGAGTCGCGCGACGGCTCTGCATATCTAGCAGGCTAGATATTTTTCTGGGCTCGGCGACACGTCTGCGATTGTTTTCGCTGCTTTGTTGGCTCTTTCATACTAACAGATTGGCAAGGGTTCATCGTCCGCTTATCCCCCAAGATTTGCACGCGATAACACCCTGACCTGTCGGTGACACAACGATTTGCAAATCGGGCATAAATCGGGCTTAAAATCCTGTAGTGTGAACTTGGCTTAACACAGTTACACAGGCAGGCACAAGGAGGCATAACTTCACTATGGAAAATAGATCATGCAACTAAATATGTCCATCCATCCAACCATAGTTATAAATGGTCAAATACGCAGCTATACTGCATTTAATTACTATTTGCAACACATTAAGCATTTTCAAATGAGACTATCTCTTGTAGTAAAGTGTTTTCTCTCTGTTCTTTGTGTCATCAGTGTAAGATCAGGCTCACATGTGTCCAGCTCTGTGTCTCTGAAGAGTGACTGGTCTAAAGATTATCCACCAAACTTCAGTGAGAAAACACCATCATCTTATAAAAGGTATTTTGTGTAACTAATTATTTTTTACACACATTGACTGTGTTTAAAAATGGTATCAATGTTTAGGTGAAATATTTGTCAGAGTATTCACAGCTAATGCTTATTTCTCTTTCTGTAAAATATCAGTTAGTATTTTATTTTACTAATATGATTACAGGCTTCAATATGAGACATTAGACTCAGACCTTCAGACTCACAGGAAACACGAGAATTTCAAAGACAATCTTCTTGGGATCTTCCAGGTAGGAAAACACATTTTATGAACGTTTAATCTTTCTAATATTTCTTTCTAAACAAATATTGTATTGAACAAATAAATTAAATAATAAAAAAAAATTCTTTTTTTCTTTTTAAACACATTTTAGCTCAACTTGGTTAGCATGTTATTCTTTAAACTGGATTTTGTATGTACATTTATTATAATTATTTAATGAATAGTGTTGACCAAAAGTAGATGTACAATTTGGCTTAAATTGTGTTATTCTGTCTCTTACTTATGTTTGTAGGATCTTGAGAGCAAAATAATCACATTTCTGAAGAATGAGCTGGAGAAGTTAAAGAAAATATTACAACATGAGAACACACAACACTTTGTGAAGGACTTTAATGAGAACAGATCCAGTATCAAATCCGCAGCTCTTGATCTCACACTACATTACCTGAGGGAGATGAAGCAAGATGAAGCTGCTGATGCTCTAGAAGGCAAGAGACTCGTCATCATCTGTCTGATTGTCTCTTATAAATGTAGGAGAGAAAATGAAGACTAAAACTATCTATTTTCTGTTCCTGTGTTTAGATGAGCTGTTCTTCATTCATCAGCTGAAATGTGGCCTAAAGAAGAAGTATCAATGTGTGTTTGAAGGAATGGCGAAGCAAGGTGACTCCACACTCCTGAATAACATCTACACAGATCTCTACATCACTCAGGGTGGCAGTAAAGAGGTCAATACTGAACATGAGGTCAGACAGATTGAAGTTGCTTCCAGACATCATGAAGCACAAGAGATCCAGGTTGAATGCACACATTTGTTTGAAGCGCCTGAACAAGACGAGGAGATCCGAACTGTACTGACAAAAGGAGTCGCTGGCATCGGCAAATCAGTCTCTGTGCAAAAGTTTGTTCTGGACTGGGCTGAAGGAAAAGAAAATCAAGATATCAGCTTCATATTTCCTCTTCCATTCAGAGAGATGAACTTAAAGGAGAAAGAAAAACTAAGTTTGATGGACCTTATAACTCAGTTTTTCCCAGAGACAAAAGGACTGAACCTTACAAGAAGGAATCAGTTCAAAGTGCTGTTCATCCTTGATGGACTGGACGAATGTCGCCTTCCTCTGAAGTTTGATTGTAATGAGATGTGGCGTGATGTATCGTCACCAGCCTCTCTGGATGTTCTCCTAACGAACCTCATGAAGGGAAATCTGCTTCCTTCTGCTCTCGTCTGGATCACCAGCAGACCAGCAGCGGCCAGTAAGATTCCTCCTGACTGTATCGACCGGCTGACAGAGATACGAGGATTCAGCGACGCACAAAAGCAAGAGTACTTCAAAAAAAGATTCAAGGATGATATTCAAGCCAACACAATCATAGATCATGTTAAACAATCAAAGAGTCTCTTTATCATGTGCCACATCCCAGTCTTCTGCTGGATTTCAGCCACTGTTCTCCAGAACATTCTGGAGGAGAAGAGAAATAATGATGTGAGAAACACTCAGGCTGATGAGATCTCTAAAACACTGCAGGAATCAAACACTGAAGACACTCCCAAGACTCTGACACAAATGTACACACACTTTCTCCGCTTTCAGATCCAGCAGAGCCGCCGAAAATATGATGGAGAATACACACCAGATGTTTACTGGGATAAAGACGCCATCCTTTCACTGGGGAAACTGGCATTTCATCAGCTGGAAAGAAACAACCTGATCTTAAATGACACAGACCTGGAAGCCTGTGGTCTTGACGTCTATAAGGCATCAGTGTACTCAGGCATGTGTACCCAGATCTTTAAGGAGGAAACAGGGATCGTTCTTGGTACCATGTACTGCTTTGTTCACTTGAGCATTCAAGAGTTTATTGCAGCCCTTTATGCACATCTGTTTCTAGACATCAACAAGACAAGTGTGTTTGATCATGAGTCTACAGAACAGGAAAACAGAAATGAAACCATGATTGATTTTCTCAAGACTGCAGTGGACAAGGCACTGGAGAGTGACAATGGACACCTGGACCTTTTCCTTCGCTTCCTCCTCGGTCTGTCACTCCAGTCCAATCGACGACTCTTACGAGGTCTGTTGACACAGCGAGACGGCACTGACCGGAGCAACAAGGACATAGTTCAGTACATCAAGCAGAAATTAGAAGATAATCTTCCTGCGGAGAGATCCATCAATCTGTTCTACTGTCTGAATGAACTGAACGACCAAACTCTGGTGAACGAGATTCAGACCCACCTTAGCAAAGGAAGTCTCTCATCTGGTGACCTTTCACCTGCCCAGTGGTCTGCTTTAGTCTTTGTGTTGTTGACATCAGAGGAAGAGCTGGAGAAGTTTGAGCTTCAGAAATTCAAGAAATCAGACGAGTGCCTCATTAGATTATCGGCAGTCATTAAAACCTCCAGAAGAGCCCTGTAAGTCTTTTATATATTTTGTCATGTTTAGCTCTCACCGTAAAAATGCATTTATCTACTTTATTCTATAGTGGTTCCCCATCATAAACATGAAGTTATAGCTGTAAAGTTTTGTGTGTGTATGTGTGTGTGTGTCTGTGGAGACAGTTTATCACAACTTTTGACAAAATATAAAATACCATGAAAAAATGTTTGTTTTGTATCATATGATACACCCGCCTTGTATGGCTTATATATAATTATTAGTGGTGGGCCGTTAACGTGCTGTGTTAACATGAGACTCTTGTCGGGTGATAAAAAAAATATTGCCGTTAATCTATTCTCAAAGTTGAGTTGGGAGCTAGGTCTATACTTAGGGTGACCAGACGTTCCGTTTTTTCAGGGACAGCCCCGTATTTCAACTGTAATTTTAGTGTCTTATTATGAAAAAATCATGCTTTGTCCCGTATTTTATCATTATTTTAAGTAAAACATCAAATAATAGCCGAGTCCTAAATAGACGCGTGTCTCTTTTACACGCCTGGTGTGACTGGAGATTGGTAAATAAAATCTTTGGTAAATAAAAAAAAATGGTATCTTTGGCTGTGGAATTTGTTTTATGTCTGGCTGGTACATCAGCACCTGTGGAGCGTGTGTTCTCCTTAATAAATGCATCATGGACGGATGAAAAATCTCGACTAAGTACGTGTAACAACAATGAAGGCAATGCTCTTTGTGCATTTTATGATAAACTCTTGAAAGACAAGCGCACACTGGCAAAAACTGGTTCCAGTGAAAAATACAAAATGGCAACAGTGAATGATCTTGTTCCCTTGTTGATCTGCAATTTTATGTAGCCAAAGTCTATTTTTTTTTTACTGTTTTAATTTTAAAATGACTTGGTAGCAGAGAGCCCCATGATGAAGCTCTGCCCCGACTGTACAGAGGGTCTAGCTCCGTCCCTGCTCATCTTACAAACTACCTGCGAGGTTATTTATTTGGGTTGCACACATATTCTGAATGCCTTCGGGAAGAAGTAAAATGAGCCATTTTAATCTAGATTAATCTAGATTAATTCTAAGATTACAGTTAGATTAATCTAGATAAAAAAATTAATCTATGCCCGCCACCTCTAATAATTATATATATTATAACATAATCATACTTGAGGAAGAAAAAAAAAATACATATTTTATTCATATACCCAAACTGAGGGGAAAGAATGTAATTTGGTACAGATGTTATTTATATTTCCAAAAACTAAGATGCAATTCTGAAAAGTTATAGAATAAAACATTCTAACATAAAAAAACATAAAAACATGAGATTTTTATAAAACAGGCTACTTAAATAAAGTACATATATATTATCACATCATATATTAGTTGTCCCTCTGTTTCTCCCAGTAATTATATATTTAAATGCTTATTTATATAAGTAATTCTATAGTTTAATGTAACAACAATGAAATGCAATATGTAGATCGAGAGATTTACAAATAAACATTTATCAAAAGCCGGTTGTATCATATTTGATGTACACATCAGATGATTTAGTGTAAAAAGATAAAGTGTAATTTATTCCTCTGATCAAATCTGTATTTTCATCATCATTACTCCAGTCTTCAGTGTCACATGATCCTTCAAAAATCATTCTAATATGATAATTTGATGCTCAAGAAACATTTATGATTATTATCATTGTTGAAAACAGTTTTTTTTACATTTTTATTTCATGATGCTATGATGAATAGAAACTAAAACAGAACAGCATTTATCTGAAATGTAAAGCTTTTGTAACATTAAACTCTACCCTTCAAAAGGTTGGAGTCAGTAAGAATTAAATTTTTTTTGGGGGGGGGGGGGGAGGGTGATATAATACATCAATACTTTTTATTCATCAAGGATGAGTTAAACTGATCAAAAGTTATAGTAAAGACATTTATAATGTTAGAAAATATTCTATTTTAAATAAACGCTGTTCTTTTGAACTTTCTATCCATCAAAGAATTTTGAAAAAAAAAATGTACACAACTGTTTTCAACATTGAAAATAATAATGAATGTTTTTTGAGCATCAAATCAGCATATTAGAATGATTTTTGAAAGATCAAGTGACAATGAAGACTGGAGTAATGATGATGAAAATTCAGCTTTGATCACAGGACTAAATTACACTTTACTGTATATTCACATAGAAAACAGCTGTTTTAAATTGTAATAATATTTCACATTATTACTGTTTTTGTTTTTATTTTTAATCAAATAAATGCAGCTTTGATGAGCAGAAGATACTTCTTTTAAAAACATAAAAAATCTTACCGATCTAAAACTTTTGACCATGTATGAATCGATATTTGGAATTCTATGAATCGATTTTGAATTGGTAAAGCTTG